ACTTCTGCCCTGGCAGTGCCCCTGCCCACAGCAGAGGCATGGTGGCTTATTGCTGTCTTGCTTTGTGGCCTCTACCCTCGGCAGAGGGACCACGCATAGTTCTGCTGGGTCTCACGCTGTGTGCCATTCCACAGTGAGCTGGATTACTACGACTCTCACAATGTCAACACCCGGTGCCAGAAGATCTGTGACCAGTGGGATACCCTGGGCAATCTGACCCACAGTCGCAGGGAAGCCCTGGAGGTGAGGAGCAGCCCAGGTTCCCCACTGCCCTTCAAATGGTGGGGAGGGTGGGTGATATCCACCTCCATGAGCTCCTGGCTGCCCAAGGGAGACTCTCTGACCTCCCGAGAACCTCCCCACTGACCTGCCTTTTGCTGTCGCTGCCCTTTTCTACACATCCCAGAAAACAGAGAAGCAGCTGGAGACCATTGACCAGCTGCACCTGGAGTACGCCAAGCGGGCTGCCCCTTTCAATAACTGGATGGAGAGCGCCATGGAGGACCTGCAGGACATGTTCATTGTACACACCATCGAGGAGATTGAGGTCCGCCCTGCTCCACCACACCCCCTGCATGGCCTCTGGAAGGCCAGGCTGCCCCTCACTCCTCCTCATCCCCCAGGGCCTGATCTCAGCACATGACCAGTTCAAGTCGACCCTGCCAGATGCTGACAGGGAGCGTGAGGCTATCCTGGCCATCCACAAAGAGGCACAGAGGATCGCCGAGAGCAACCACATCAAGCTGTCAGGCAGCAACCCCTATACCACCGTCACCCCCCAGATCATCAACTCCAAGTGGGAAAAGGTGGGTTGGGGCCTCTCACGTGCTGGGGCCCTGTACCAGGTGTGGCCACCTCCCCTCACCACTCCACTGTGGCCCTTCAGGTGCAGCAGTTGGTGCCAAAGCGGGACCATGCCCTCATGGAGGAGCAGAGCAAGCAGCAGTCCAACGAGCACCTCCGCCGCCAGTTCGCCAGCCAGGCCAACGTGGTGGGGCCCTGGATCCAGACCAAGATGGAGGTGAGGGGGTCCCTCATGCCTGTGCCCCAGCAGAAGGTCAAGGGTCAGCAGGATTATGTGAGTTCAACTGGCTGTGCCAGCCAGAGAAAGCTGGCTGAGGGTCAGGTAGGCTTGGGCTTGAGCCTCGACTCCTGGTGATCTGGAGCCTCTGCTACCCAGTTCTTGGCTTTCAGAATGGGAGAAAGCAGGTACCTTGTTCTGTGGGGCCCACCTGAGTGCTGCAAGCAGCACAGCTCAAGCAACCCTCAAGACAGCCCCAGGAGGGTGTGAAGTGCAGCTGGTAGTGGCTCTGGCCTCTGCACCGAGCAGTTGTGAGCGGCCTTTGTGAAAGCTTCGGCCATGCGGGCCGAAGATGCTCGGCAGCCAGCTGCAAGGGTGTGGGGCGCCTGTGACCAGGAGCCGTGGGTTCTGAATCCATCCAGGCCTGTGATCAGACCCTGGCTCTGCTCCTTGCTGTAGTAACTTGTCCTCAAGCCTTGGTTTCACTGTCTGCAGTCAGGCCTGGGTCTCTTGGAGAGGTAAAGGGTACAGTAAAAAAGTTAGGTGTGTGGAGTATGGTGCAGCAGTCTCCCCCATGGCTGCTTTCACACCCAAGAAAGGGACCAAGAGGGGCAGGCTGTGGGTGAGGCCTCCCTAGCCATGGCTGCACCTCCCTGCAGGAGATCGGGCGCATCTCCATCGAGATGAACGGGACCCTGGAGGACCAGCTGAACCACTTGAAGCAGTACGAGCGCAGCATTGTGGACTACAAGCCCAACCTGGACCTGCTGGAGCAGCAGCACCAGCTCATCCAGGAGGCCCTCATCTTCGACAACAAGCACACCAACTACACCATGGAGGTGCGAACCCTAGACCCACACACCTCCCAGGACCCCCCCTTTGAAATAGGTTTGCTGCTGCCTGTTTTTCTATTTAAAATGATTAGAAAGACTAGACCAGACCACTCACACATTTTAAAAGCCACACTGCTCTCCCTACACCATGACTGTGTCTGTCTTTGGGCAGAATTTCCCATGACCTGGAGGGGTGTCACCTTTGCTACCCTGACCCCTGCTGGTGGCCTTGCAGTTTCACCTTGCTTGAGTCCCAAGTCCTGTGCTGAGGCAGGCAGTGCAGCCAAGAAGAGGTTACAGTCAAGGCTTACAGGAGCGGTTCTGTGGGCAGCTGGGAGTGTATCCTGGGAGCATCCTACTGTCAGGTCCATAGAAGCCACAGACTAGCATGGAGTTGTGTGTCCTCCCCTTTACTTCCAGCCTGTCTTTGTACATCAATCATGAACCTATAAAATGTTGCCATGTGAGTCCTGACACAAGGGCATAGTGTCCTTGCCCTTGTGCTGCGTCCTCTGGGAGTGGGTGAACCTGCTGATTGGCAGGGGCTGAAGTGTCATTTGGGGAAGAGTTTCGGGGGCCACCTGACCTAGCCAGCAGCACTCAGGACAAAACAGCCACCAGCCCCTGGTCACACCCCTCCCTCCTATAGCACATCCGCGTGGGCTGGGAGCAGCTGCTCACCACCATTGCTCGCACCATCAATGAAATTGAGAACCAGATCCTCACCCGAGACGCCAAGGGCATCAGCCAGGAGCAGATGCAAGAGTTCCGGGCGTCCTTCAACCATTTTGACAAGGTGAGCAGCTCCCTCACCTCGCATGCCTTCCCATTGTCACTGTCCCCTCTTGCCTTCCTGTCTTTGTGTTTGTTCATTCACAGAGGTCAACTAAGCATAAGCCACCCCCTCGGGCGGGCAGGATCCCAGCACTCAGGGAATATTGGGTGGGGGTGGAGGTCTCCCAGCTGCTCTCTGGGACTGCATCCATACCAGCCTGCCCCTGCAAGGCTGGGAACCCAGTCCCATGCAGTGTTCTTGAGATAGACGTTGGTGTGGCAGTTGTTTTGGAGGGGCCTACATGCAGGAGCATAGCTCCTTTCCCAGCTGGCCCTGCTGGGCAGGCCAGCTGACTTTCTCTGCATGAGAGTCCAAGTGCAACTTGGGCCCTGCATGAGTAGGTGACCCTCTGATGCCCCCTCTTTGCCCAAACCCTGAAGAAAAAAAGAATTCTCTTACCTTCTGTTCTGGCCCAGAAAGTGGAGAGGCGGAGGCAGGGCGAGGGGCCTATGCGGCCTCCTGACCTTCCCATCCCTGGCCATCACCTTGTCTTTGTCACCTCTAACTCTGTTTCCCTCCCCTATGTATCACCCTCCCCTGCCCTCTGCATGTGGCCCTGGCCCCTCTCCCGCCTCTGCGGCCTGGTCTCCGCACCACCCCCGCGCACCTGCCTTCGATGGCCGGCAGGATCATGGCGGGGCCCTGGGGCCCGAGGAGTTCAAGGCCTGCCTCATCAGCCTGGGCTACGACGTGGAGAACGACCGGCAGGTACGCGCACCCCCGGGCCCCAGCGGACTGTGGCATTAACTGCTCTTCTCTTTCTCTCTCTCCTTCTCTCTCTCCCTCTCCCTGCCATTCCACCCCCTGCCATCATGTGTGCCATCTCACGGCTCTCTTGCCTCCTCCCTGCCCTCTTGTCTCTCGGATACCTCCCCTTACCTGGTCTCTCCGGGCCTCCTGTTTCCCTGCTCCTGCCACTGTCCTGTCTGCCCGCTGTGTACTTGGGGCGGCCCCTCTTGCCTGCTCTGGGCCTGGTCTCCTCTGCTATGCCTGCGTCCTGGGAGCAGAAGCAGACAGGCAGCATGGACTCCGATGACTTCAGGGCTCTGCTTATCTCCACAGGATACAGCCTGGTATGCAGCCTCTGCCTCCCCTGCCACTGCTCCTCCTCCTCCTCCTCCTCTTCCTCCTCCTCCTCACCTCCTCCCACCCCCTCACTACCTCCAGAGCTTCCATGTCCTCGGGGACACTCCCCCGCCAGAGCAGCAGTGTTACCTTGCCTGCTGCCTCTGCTGCATCTGCGGGCTGGGGTCCTTCCGATGACTCCTTGAGCCCCCTCTGCCCAAGAAGCCTCCAAAGAGAGGGGGACAGTCCTCCCACTCTCTCCCCTTTCTCTCTTTCTCTCTTTCTTTCTTCCCCCTTCCAGAGCTAACTTGTGAGCCTGGGACTAGGGGCAGTAGACCCCAACTCTCCTCTTCCCAAGACCGTGGGTGGGGAGGATACAGAGTGGGCTCTGAGAGGAGCCCAGGGCAGTCACACAGTGCAGCTTGGCTGGTGATGTGGCCTGTTCTCCTGGCTGCTCTCCTTGGGGGCTGAATCTGCCAGCCCTCACCTGGCTGCCCCTACCCTACTAAGCCCTGTCTGTCCCCTGCGCCCGTCCCCTTACAGGGTGACGCTGAGTTCAACCGCATCATGAGTGTGGTTGACCCCAACCACAGTGGCCTCGTGACCTTCCAAGCCTTCATCGACTTCATGTCAAGGGAGACCACTGACACGGACACAGCAGACCAAGTTATTGCCTCCTTCAAGGTGCTGGCAGGGGACAAGGTAAGTGGGACCCCTTAGGACACCCGGGTTGGCAGGAGGGCTCCCTGCAGCAGAAATCTGGGCCACACCAGTGTGAGGGGCTGGGAGGGTTGGCATGGGATGGGGAGTGGCTCACAGTCCTGCCCTGCTGTCCCCAGAACTTCATCACAGCTGAGGAGCTACGGAGAGAGCTGCCCCCCGACCAGGCAGAGTACTGCATTGCCCGCATGGCACCCTATCAGGGGTCTGATGCTGTGCCTGGCGCCCTGGACTACAAGTCCTTCTCCACAGCCCTCTATGGAGAGAGTGACCTGTGAATCCCCGGCCACCGGACCACACCCTCCTCGAGGCCTCCTGGAGGGGCCAGCTCTCCGCTCCCCTGACTCTGTATCTATGCAAAGCACTCTGTCCGGCCTTTGGGGGTGGGTGGGTGGGCAGGGAGGGGCTGGGGCAGGCTCTCTCCTCTCTCGTTGGTTGGCCAGGAGGTCCCCCCATCCGGTAGGGGAAAGGAGACTTTTGGGGTCAGTGTCCCTCGTCTGGTAAATATATATGATGTGTTACTGTGGTTTTTTTTTTTTTTAAACCTATGTGGAGGAGACAGCAGATCCCCCATAGGAAAGCAGGTCCCCTCTGTGCCCTGGGATGCCCCTCCACTGCCACCACCCCCAGCCCCTGGGTCCTTCCATTTGCCCTTGAGGTCCCTTCCAGGCCTCCCACATCCAGGCCAAAGCCCCATGTGCCTTGTCCAGGAACTACCCTGCCCTACAAAGGGTCCAGCAGAGGGCGCTACAGATACCCACTGGGCCAACCCAGCAGCTTGGGCCCTGGCTCCAGGCTGCCCTGGCCTTGCTTTGTCTGGACTTGCCGTCTCAGATTTTCTAAGGACCAAAATAAAACAACAAAAATACAAAAACAAAAAAACAACAAAAACAAAAAAGCCACAAAAAAATTTTAAAAACAAAAATTAAAAACTTTCAGAAGATTACTATTTACTTTATTAACTTACGGATTTATTATATAAATATATATTCACCTAGCAACATATCTCTGCCGCGTCTCTTGCTCTCCTAATGAAGACATAGCTGATGTGCTGCCCTCCCAGCCCCCTCCTGGTTGTCCTCGGCTGCATCGGCAGGGTCTCTGGGGACCGCCCCAGGTGGAGGCGGGCTGCTGGCCTGGCTGCCTGGTAGTTGATGGTTTTGCCTCCCCACCCCTTTCTGAATTTATTCTGATTGATTTTTTCTTGGTTTCTGGATAAACCACCCTCCTGGGGACAGGATAATAAAACATGTAATATTTTTAAGAAGGAGCCCGACAGTGTCCTCTCTGTGCTGTCCATTCTCTACCTCGGGAAAGCACGTGAGCCCAGAGACCCCATTCCCATCCTGTGTAAAATCAAAGGTACCATGGGCCCCTTAGGGACTAACACAAGTGGCAGCAAGTGCAGGTGCTGATAGAGAGGTGCTCTTGTCAGTGAGTGAGCCAGGCACGCAGCTGGTTCTAGATGCAGAGGGGCAGGGCCTGGGCAGCAGGCATTGACCCCACATCCTAGGAGAAGGTGGCCACCTCTGTCCACTGCATGAGAGGAGCAAGAGGCAGAGTTGAGGCAGGGATCCTTGGATGGTACCAGAGCCACCCTGTTCCTCCAGCCCAGCTCACCTGTCTGTGGGTCAGACACACGACCCCCTCACCCCCGTGCAGATGCTGGCTGCAGTGGCCTGCACAGAGAGGAACAGTGAGGGCCTGCCACACCCAGCAAGGGAGACCCACCCTGCGCCTACCAAGTAGCGCTGGTACTCACGGAAGATGCAGGTGAGCTGGGCTACACAGGACACGAAGCGCTCAAAGTCTACACGCAGCCGGCTGTCCCGGTAGCGGCTGGTGAGGGCCTGGGTCAGTTGGTTGTTCAGGTGGAAACCTGGGGAAGGAGTCCGGAACCCCACTTCCACACCACACCCCAAGACGGCACCCCAGTGGCTTGGGCCCACAAGGTGTGAAGATAGAGGGCTTGTGTGTATGGTACCTGGCACCCAAGAACTGTGTCACTTGGGCACGGAAATACCTTCGGGTGGCAAAATATGCTTGACAGTAGGTCTAGGGTCACTCCATACTCGACATCAGAGGCAACTTCTTGTTTTTCCTTTGTGTGTGTGTGTGTGTGTGTGTGTGTGTGTGTGTGTGTGTGCAACTAGAAATTGGATGTGGGCCTTTATGCTGAACTACATCTATCCCCAGCCCTTTTAATTTTAATTTTCTTTTTATTAATTTCCGTTTTGAGACAGGTTCTCATTCCTAAGCTGCCCAGGCCAGACCCTCCTTGAACTTGGGGTCCTCCTTCCCCAGCCTGCTGAGGCGCTGAGGTTTACAAGTGTGCTTACTCACCTCTGCTCTCTGCTGAGGCCCTGCATAGCGCCTTTTCTCTGATGCCACCACCCTGACTTGGGCTCACCTGGCCTTGCACACCCCTGGGCACCTGCCCACCACCACACTGTGGCCTCCCTCAGAGAGGGAGCCCAGTGCCCCTGGCCTCAAGGCCCTACAGCTTTCCTGCAGCACCATGGCAAATGGCAGGTTGGCCCTAGGACTAGCTGACCCCACCTGTCCTCTGTCCCCAAGAGTATGCCACTGAGTCCAGACGTGTGGGAAAGCACAGGCTGGTTCTCTCCAGGGCCAGCTTATGGTTTTGTGCTTCCGCACTCAGTGAACAAGCTGGCCCCCTCCATGCAGCAAATGCTGTTGGTGTGCGTGCGTGCGTGCGTGTGTGTGTGTGTGTGTGTGTGTGTGGTTCTGGATTACTCCCAGAGAGCTTTCCAACTGAGCTACATCTCTAGCCATTTATTTCAATACAAATTCTTACTATGTTGCCAGGTTGGGCTTGAACTCAGTCCTCCTGCCTCAGGCTTGCAGAGTGGCGGAATTACCAACATTTGCCACTAAATCCAGTCTCACTGCCTTCCTTTGGGGTAGTATATGGTACAGAGTGACAAGAGCTGTGTTTCTAGCACAGGGTGCTGTGCAGTGCCACCCCACAGGTACCCCAGGCCAACCTCACAGTGACGTAGGCCATCAGAAGAAATCACATGCCAGCAGAAAGTCAGGAGAGCGACCATTCCAACTGAAGCTCATCAGAATCTAGAACATTATTCCACGCTACCCAGGAAGCAGCACCTCAGATACCAGTGCCCAGTGTTCCCTTCTTAGGGCCCCTCAGTCCACACCGAGGATACCACCCAAGCCCTACTGGGAATAGGCCTTGTGAATGGCTGCACCCAGGCCAGCAGGCAGGACTGGGAAGATGAGACAAGCAGGACCAAGCCCTGTCCCCCATCTACCCGAGATCCCTGTTCACACCTGCAGCATTCAGCGCCAGCCGCAGCTCATAGGAGTTCATGGTCCCAGAAGTGTCCTCATCAAACTTGTCAAATGTGGCCTGGACAGGGAGGAGCAGGTCAGTCCAACCCCAGTGCCAAGGGCCCTGAACATCACCCTGTACCCTAAAGAAGCTGAAGGTGAGGGCTGGTGAGATGGCTCAGTGGTCTAAAGCACCTACTTAGAACAAGCTTAGCAAAGCACAGGGACCGCGGTTCAATCCCCCAGCACCACATGTCAGCCAGCCCCGCCCCCTGGTGGGCTGAGCTGGCCACACACACACACACACACACACACACACACACAAATAAATAAAATTAAAAAAAAAAAAAAGCTGAAGGTGACCTCAGAGGCCACAGAGCACCCAGCTCAGCACCCTTCTACCCTTCTACCTGGCTATTTGCCCGAGGCCAGCAGCTTAGCCGCCTGTACCTGTTTCTTCCTTTGCTGGTGTGTAGACACCAGGTCACAGGTGAGGAAGACAATGTGTGAGGGCTTGCCAAGTACTGGCTTCTCAGGGTTAGCAGTATGGAGAGGACCTTGGCCATCTCTTCCCCATGGGTTAGACCAATCATGTGCAGCCAAGCAGAGGTCCCGTGGAGTGGAAGGCCCCTTCCCCAGGGCCACCCAGACTGGATAGGGCAGGGCCCAGAGTCCAGCCCAAGACCAGAGGCTGCACAAGGTAGCCTAGTCCCCCTTTTATCTCTGGGGTGTATGCACAGGAGCAGGCAGCCTGCCAGGCCCTTGCCTTACCTGCCACATCAGCAGGTGGCCCCAGAGCTGCTGGAAGTGGTGCAGGGTCAGGCTCCGCCCATGCTGCAGGTGAAGGCATCTGGTTATGGTCAGTACCCCCAGAAAGGCAAACATCCCCGTGCCCAGTTCCCAGACATGTACCCCAAAACACTGCAGCAGCTGCTCACAGGTCCTGAGCCCGATCTCCCCGGAGTTCCTAGTGCTGGCTCTGGCTGCAAGAAAAAAACTCCAGCACTTGCTGTCCACTGGCCCTCTTCGCAGAGGGCCTTTCACAGACACAGAGCCACAGAAAGCCTTTGGTTGCTACAGATGGCAGAGCTGGGATTTACATCCGGACACATTGCCCCAGTCTGCACCACACAGTGCTGTGAGTGCCACGTCAGAGAAAAGAGATACCCTCCTGGCTGTGCCAGCCACAGGCTAGGAGATGCTGCTGAGCTGAGCCTGGCCTTCCTGTGGCCTCATGCCCAGCAAGCAGCACAACCTATTAACATATATGACTGGGTAGGGGTCTGGCTGTAGTCAAAGAACCTCTGGCCAACAGCCCCAGAACCCCAACTCACCTGGCTCCAGGGCAATACTCAATAAAGTCTGGAGCTGGTGGGCATTGAGTTCTTCCTCCTAGGCAGCGAGAGAGCCAATTCATTCATTCATGCAGCCAGCCAACAAACTGGCCAGACCCTGTGCTGGAAGGTGCTGGGTACAGACAGTGACTAAGAGATCCAGACCTACCCTCTCAAGTTTGCATTAGTAGAGACAGACCTGCCCCAGAGTGGCCCAGGGCAGCAAGGAAAGAAGCGCTGGGCTTTGGGAGCCCGCAAGGAGCTAGTAACAGAGACATAGAAGGGCAAGGTGGGAAGAGGAGGCCCAGTCTGGGGGGACTGTGAAGGGAGGGAAGGTCTAGGCTCAGAGTGCAGACTGAACCAAGGCCCGGAGGCAGGAAGAGCCTTCCAGAAAAGAAGCTAGAGGGAAGGAGTAAGCAAAATGAGCCGCTCATGAAAAGGAGGGAACCCAGCCTGGATTCCTCACCTCCCCAGCCAGCTCCAGAAACAGCTGCACCAACTGCAGCTCCAGGGGCTTGGAGGGGACCTAGGAGGAAGGAAGGGTTCAGCTTGGCCCCAAATCCTCCCCTCCCGGGCGCCCCTCCCAGCGCAGCTCCCTCACCATGAGGGTCTCCACGTCAGCGCTGATCACGTCATCGATCTCCCTGCGAATTGAAGCAGGAGATACGGTGGTCACCCCACGGCTGGGCCTTGGGGCCTCAGGGTCCCAGTGTTGAATTGGGTAGGGTTTTGGGGCTTTGGCCTCAGGCACCAGGATGGGGTGGGTGTCAGAGTCCCGGGGCTGGGTCCTGGAGCCTGAGAGACCGGGGTAGGACTTGGGGGTCCCTGGCCAGGGCTACTGTCGGGGCGAGGGCGGAGGTCCAGGCTCACACTGCTGTGTGACTGCGCTCGGAAAAGATACGCAGCGTGAAGTCGGCCTCGTCGCCAACGCGGGAAGCGCTGGGCACCACGAGGTAATGGCCGGGGCGCAGGCGACAGCGGCGGCTCACGTCGCGGCGGGCGCAGAAGACCGAGCGGTCGGCGCGCAGCAGCCCAGGCAGGAGCTCGCGGCTGCGCGGCGAGTCCCAGAGGCTCAGCAGCTGCGGAGGGGCGTTGTGACCGCGGCTACCCCGCTTGGCCGCCCACCTGCCCGGGTCCGCCCCCGTCCCGCCGAGCCCGCCCCCAGCCCGCTGGGCTTCCCCGAGAGGGGACCATGCTGGTACTCGGCCAGGAGCGGGGCGCGCCTGAGACCCACCTCCTCTGGAATCTGTAAGAAGCGAGTGCGCAGATCAGGGCGGGAGGAGGAGCCCGGCTCAGAGCCCACTCCAGCCCCTCCGCGCCCCTCAGGCCCTTCCGGCTTCCTGGGGACCCCTGGTTCTTCAGTTTTCTTTGAGCCTCTGGTCCTGGTCCCAAGCCAGGACCGGCCCTTCCCAGGCCTCCCCTCCCCCATCTGCCCTCTCATGCCCTTCTCAGCTATTTGAGGGAGTAGGGGTACTGAACACTGAACCGAGAGCCTTTGCACTGAGCAGTATCTTCCGCCCATGTCTTTTGAAGACAAGGTCTCACTAAATTGCCCAGGCTGAGCTCGAACTTGAGATCCTCCTGCTTCAGCCTCCCAGAGTGCTGGGATAGACCTGTGCCTCATGCCAGGCCCTTCTCCACCTAGATAGACGAGGCTCTTCCCCTCTAGCCCCTCCTCAGTCTTTACGGGACTCTTCTTTCCTCCTGGCACAGTGGCTTCCACTCTCCTCAAGTCCTGCCCCCACCCCACCCCTGGGAGGCCTCACCTGGAATACATGGAAGCCCACAGTGAGGTAAGTGAGGCCCTTGGCCCTTAGGCACCGCTGGTTGCGCTGGATGAGTGACAAGAGGACCGTGCATTTGGGGGTGCGACCCCCCCTTGCAGGGCCCCTCGCCCCTGCGGCCCCCCAACCTCCCCAGGGCGCCCCTTCATCGTCCTCATCCTCTTCCTCCTCATCGGGCTCCAGCAGAGTCAGCCGGAACTGGGGATTGGTCCAGAAGGTCTCTAGGAGGGAAGAAGTGGGGTCCGCAGGCTGCCACAGCCCCATCCCCGCACGCACCCCAGAGCCCCTCAGGCCTCACCCGCGGTAGGCTGGCTCCCACCAGAGTTGAAGCCACGCACCCAGCGGCCCTGGAAGGTGTGGATGTGCCAGCCGCCCCCGGTCGGGCTGGGGCCCAGCACCTCGGGGCTCAGTGAGCAGATCTGGACGGTGTTGAAATGCTGAAGGAAGTCTTGCAGCTCCATCCTGGAGGGTGCCCCCAAAAACTCAAGACTCCAGAACTGACCCCAATCACAAGGCCTGTCAGGCCCTCAAATACTGCTAAGGACCTGTCAACCCAGAAATCTCTAAGCCCTACAGTTCCCCCAGGTGTCTAAGTCTTTGGAAATGCCCCACAGGCTGCTCCCAAATATCATTAAGTTGCTTTTCTAAAATCTAAAGAGGTGGGGCCAGGGAGATGGCTCAGTGGAATAAGCGCTTCCCTGGCAAGCACAAGGGCCTGAATTCATCCCTGGTTCCACAAATAAATAAATAAATAAATAAATAAATAAAATCTAAAGACAGCTAGCAAGATAGCTTGGTGGCCTAAGCACCTGCCTGGCAAGCACAAGGACCAGGGTTTGATTCCCTTTACCGCTTGCCAGGCTGGCTACTGAAACCGTGCATGGTACAGCAAGACCCTGTATCACGTAAGTAAAATTTGTAGACCCTGTACTAAACACATTAAAAAAAAAGAGTCTTGGGGCTGGAGAGATGGCTCAGTGGTCTAAAGCACCTACTTAGAACAAGCTTAGCAAAGCATCAGGGACCGCGGTTCGATCCCCCAGCACCACATGCCAGCCAGCCCCGCCCCCTGGTGGGCTGAGCTGGCCACACACACACACCACTCTCTCTCTCTCTCTCTCTCTCTCTCTCTCTCTCTCTCTCTAATAAGTAAATAAATAAATAAAATTAAAAAAAAAAAAAAAAGAGTCTCACTACACAGATCAGACTTGTAGTAATCTCCTGTTATCAGCCTCCCAAGCGCTGGGATTGCAGGCAGGCACGCTACCACACCCAGTCACAATTGCCATCTCAGTGTGCCCTGGAGGTGGGGCTGCCACCGCATGCAGGGGGAGGGGGGATCGAACCCCTGGCCCATAAATAAATTTTTAGAAAACCCAAAGGGCAGGAGCCGGGGAAATGGCTCAGTGGAATAAGCACTTGCCTGGCAAGCGCAAAGGCCTGAGTTCAATCCATGGTTCTGCCAAAAAGAAACCAAAGCTAGGTATGATGGCACAAGCCTACAGTCCTAGCCGTGTAGGAGATTCTTTGTTTGTGCCCAGGCTAGACATTTTAGTAACTTACTTGACAAGACCCTGTATCAAAATAAAAAATTATAAAAGGGCAGGAGGCCCTGGGTTCAATCCCCAGTACTGAAAAAAACATACTAAGACCCTGATATCAACAAGTATCCTTTACAATCTCAGTATTGCCAGATCTCAAGAAATGCCCCAAATGTCACTAAACCTCCCCCAATCCCACCGCCCCTTTCCAGCCTCCAGCACTTACTATGGCTCCAGCGTCTTCCTCCTTGATCCCAGCACTGCTGCTACTAGGCACAGTTTCTCCCTAGGATGCTCATGGGGTTCTCCCTGTCCCTTCTTCCCCTGTCCCTTGGTCCCCAGGCCCAGGGGGCCTCTCAGGGGCAGAGCTGGGAACCCAGAACTCACCAGAACTCACCATCCTCCTTCCTCACCAGCAGGGCATCTCGCCACTCCGGGGGCAGCGTATCCCAGCGAGGGCAGCTGGAGAGACAGGTGTGAGGGGCCGCAGGGGGGACCCAGCCCCCCACCCCACAGCTCATCCCACCTGTCACTCCATGCCCCGGACCATTCCACACGGCCCCATGGGTTCCGAAGCCGCAGCAGCCGCACCTTGGTGAAGCCCAGGGACACCTGAGGACAGCATAGTGGGTGGCAGTGGCACCTGGACACCCCTGCCAGCTCACCCACAGGGACAGCTCACCTTGTGCGTGCCTGTGACTGAATACGCATGCCCCTTCACCAGCCCCTCTTCTGTACGGTACTCGCCCCGGTCACTCTGAGCAGAGGACACAAGACAGTGAGCTCAAGGTGGAGGACAGAAGGACAGCTGCTTCCCTCAAGCCCCCAACCTCCTGCCACCACCGCAGCTCAAGCACAGCATGGCATTGCCTGGCCCTGGGCTCAGAAGAGGGGAGAGGGAAACAGAACAGGTAGGGAGGTGGAAAGGAGACAGAAAGGGGCGGGTGCTAAGCTGCAGTAACCAAGACGCATGGAAGGGAGACACAGAGGCAGAGCCTCAGGGACCAAGTACAAGGTTAAGAAGTGGGTAAGGGTATGAGTTAGACCAACTCAGTGAAGGTATGAACATGGGCATCAGGGCACATGCCTATAAACCCGTCACTCTGGAGCCTGAGGCAGGAGGATTGCCATGAGTTTGGGGCTGGCCTGGGGTACATAGTGAGACCCTGTCTCAAAACAATAAAACACAAAAGGCTGGTTGTGGTGGTGCACCCCTGTAAGCCCTGAGGCAGGAGGATCTCTGCCAGCTTAAGACCAGCCTGGGCTACAAAGTGAGCTCAAGACCAGCCTGAACTACATAGCAAGACCCTGTCTCAAAAAAACCAAAAAAGGGGGCTGGTGAGATGGCTCAGTGGTCTAAAGCACCTACTTAGAACAAGCTTAGCAAAGCACAGGGACCACGGTTCAATCCCCCAGCACCACATGCCAGCCAGCCCCGCCCCCTGGTGGGCTGAGCTGGCCACACACACACACACACATACACACACACATTAAAAAAAAAAAAAAAAAACCCCCAAAAAGGGGGGATGGGGAGATAGCTCAGTGGTATAAGTGCCTGCCTGGCAAGCATAAGGTCCTGAGATCATCCCAGGGGCTGAGGAGATGGCTCAGTGGAATAAGCACTTGCCTGAGTTTGTCCCAGTACCAAAAGGGGGGTGGGGCAGGGAGATGGCTCAGTAGAATAAGTACTTGCCTGGCAAGAGCAAGGTCCTGAGTTCAATCCCCAGTACCACAGAATAAATAAATAGATAAATAAATAAATAAATAAATAAATATCTCAAAAAACCCTACTCTTTTATTTTTACATTTTTAACCCTGCCGGGGTGGGGGTGCCTACAGCTACTGGAGGTTCCCTTTTGCACTTGTGTTGGGTGACAGGTTCTGGCCCTAGTCTGAATTGCTCATTATTATGGTGGTCATCTCATATGGCTGAAGCCCTTAAAGCGACAGCTTATTTTCTCAAAGACCACCTGCCCCCTTCTTCTGCAATTCAGCCCGGGGTGCAATGTCCTTTCCCGCCACCTCAGGGAAGGCCCCAATCAGTTCCTCAGATACTTCTAAACATCCTCCTCAGACTCCACCCCTAACAACAGTCCTCAAAAGCCCTGGCTTTCTTTGTCTTGGGCTGGAAGATCTACCAGACCCATCTGCCCTCGATCCTCTCCGTGTCTTTGGAGTTAATAAAGGCTTCTTTTATCTTTCCTATCTTTTTACTGCACCTCAGAAAAACCTATCATTGGGAAGGCCTGCCCGCGTGCCGCGAACCCAGAATCAGGGTAGAGAAACACTTCTGCGAGGTCCTCGGAGCACCCAGGTGCAGCTGTGCCTGAGGCTTGTCTTGTTATGAGTGCAAATAAGTTCTGCCTAACTCGCAGCTGTTTGTGAGAAAGAACTCGGCAGCAGAAGCTAAAAGGAAAAGATAGGAAGCTCCTCCCAACCCGTGTGCCCCTTTGGGCTGAGCAGGAGTGCAGCTCTCACCAGGGCAGTGGCGCCCACCAGGGACTCCTTGGCCAGGGCATGGCGGAGGGCCGAGAAGAGGCCCGGCGTGTTGCCTCTCAGGTAGAGAACCTCGCCCACGCCGCCGGTGAAGTCCACAAAAGCCTCATTCATGTGGCCACCTCGCATCACCTCGTAGGAGCCATGGAGCCTGCAGTAGGGGGCAGATCTGAGGTGGGTACCAGCCTCTTAGATCCTCCACAGCCTCCGAGGCTTCTGTCGCAGCAGGAGGGAGGCCCAGAAGCCAAGACCTGGACCTGTGGGCCATCTAGAGGCCGCCAGGACTGTTAGGGTGGGAGCCCCGGGGCAACAGTGCAGAACTGCGCCTGGGCCTGGGCCTGAGTCTCTGGACTTCAGCTTTGGCGGGGTGGAGGTGGGGGCGGGGGCTGGGGAGTACCAGGCATTCCAGACCCTCAGGATTAGGAAGAAATGATTTAAGGGTCCCAGGGTCACAGCCAATGGGGGTGGGAGGTAGCTTGGATGTCTTAATGGACAAGAGATGGCCTGAGATTACAGGTCATCAGAGGGATAAATCAGGGCTCCAGACATGAGACTTCAGGGTCCTCAGGAATTGTGGGCTCCAGCGATGTGGACAGAGGAGGTGCTTAGGATCTCAAGCCCTTGGGCCATAGGAAGGTACAGATGGACAGTTGGGACTTGGTTGGGGTCCTTGGCAGCTGGAGGTCCCATATGGCTGGGCCTTGGGGTGCGGGCTGGGGCCCTGGGTCCTCACTTGGCATAGGCCTTCTCCAGGAGCGGGGCCCAGAACTCATCCCGCTGCTCTGAGCGCACGAACATCAGCTTCCCCTCACGCACTGGGAGCCTGTCATCCACCACGACATCTACCCAGCGACCGAACTGCCAGAGCTGGTGCAGAAGGGGCAGGGCCTAGGATTAGCTTCGGACCACCACCCCGCTGGGTCCCCAACCTCTGCCCCGACCCTGCTGTGCCAGTCCCAGAGCCTTAGAATTATTACAGCCCCAAGGGGATCAGGCCAAAGATGAAACTCTTGTCAGCACAGGTGGGGCATGGACGAAGGAACCAAGCTCTACCTGGAAATGGAAGACACCTGCATAGCCATCTCGGAAGCTCTGTCCAGGGGGGACCACCCGGTACAGGAGCCGGGGGTACAGAGTGAGGGAGGCGGCAGCCGCGAGGAACCAGCAGTTTCCTGGAGAAAAGGCCGGGGCCAGGCGAGGGGTTAAGGAAGAGAGCCAGGGAAAGGGAGCCAAGGGGCAGAGCTCTGAGGGTACCAGCAGGGACTCCTGGGTCTGGGACTCAAGATGGGCTGAGGGGTCTCACCCAGGCTGCCCTGACACACGTCTGTCCGGCTCATGTCCTCACAGATGAACTGGGGCTCAGCACAAAACTCCTAGGGGAGGGGCCAGAGATGTAGCTCAGCAGCGCAGCACCTGCCTGGCAAGCTCAAGGTCCTGAGTTCAATTCCTGGTAACCCCCCAACAAAAACCTCCTGGGGTGATGGGGCTTCCAGGTCAGCCCAGGAAAGGGAAGAAGGGGCAGCTGAGAGGGCAGATGCCTGGGTCTCCCGCACAACGGCTCCAGGTAAAAAGTTCTCCAGCCCACAATAGGTCACGGGATCTGGGAACACAGTGTAGCTTCCCTGGGTCTCCCTGAATACAGAACACTGGGCTTGCTCCCAGCCAAGACCTTTAGCCTCCTCCCTCAGACCCCAGGGTCCAGGCCCAGATCCTCCCTCAGACTCAGGGATCCAGGCTCAGCCTCCTCCCTCAGACCCAGGGGTCCAGGCCCAGCCTCCTCCCTCAGACTCAAGGATCCTCCTCCCTCAGACTCAGGGGTCCAGGCCTAGCCTCCTCCCTCAGACTCAGGGATCCTCCTCCCTCAGACTCAGGGGTCCAGGCCCAGCCTCCTCCCTCAGACCCATCCCCACTTTACTCTGGGCCTCTTCCATTCCACCCCTTTGGCTTTTTCTGAGTTTGGCCCCAGCAGGTCATAGCCAAGGGCATCAGGTCCAGCAGGGAAGTAGGGGTCGCGGAACAGGATCCCTGAATCCAGGCAGGCTGCTCTGATTGCCTCGTAGCTCTGGCCTCGAAAGGGCTGTGGGTCCCAGGCGCCAGTCTCCGCATCTTCAGCCACCAGCTGGATTGTGACCCTCCCGTCGCTGCCTGCCATCGGAATACTCTGGGCTCCCAGATGGCCCCAGGTCCTTTAACTTCCTGAGTCATGGGGCGGGGCCCTGCCACCTGCACCCCGTTGGGGGTCTTTAGGCCCTGTGCAGCCTTCCCTCGTTAATATTAATTGATGGTTTGGGGTGCAAGGGAGCAGAGACGCCTCTTCAGTGGTTTCCTCCCTGGGGCGTGGGGCCCTCAGTTGTGGCCAGGGCAGCGGCTTAATGGGCTTGACCAGCAGGAGGGGAGGTGGGCAGAACTGAGGGAGGACCAGCAAGTATCAAGAAGGAGGTCAGTGTGGGGGTGTTTGTGCCTGCGTGGGCCACCTCTGTGGGGGGGCCAGGCTGGGGAGCAGGGCCAGGCCATCTCTGTGTCTCTTCAGACTTTTCATTTGACATTTCTATTTTGTGTGTGTGTGTGTGCGCGCGACCGGGGATTGAACTCAGGCCCTTGTGCTTGCCAGGGAAGTGCTTATTCTACTGAGCCATCACCCCAGCCCCTTCATCTGACATTTCATCTCTTCTCCCCCTCAGCCTCATTTGCTGACCCCCTGGTTTTGTTTGTCCACTTGCTTCTTGTGATGGTTTTGCTATGTTGCCCAGGCTGCCCTGGAATTAGCCAGCCTCAGCCTCCTGAGTGTGCCACCGCGCCTGGCCTCCTGACCTCTGTCCTGCCTTCACAACTCTCATGCGGCGCTGTGGGAGCCACGCGCTGTGGGAGCCGAGATCATTCCCCTCAGACTACTGTCCTGAGCTGAGGAAGGCTGACCCAGCCCGGGCAGTGAGGTGGGGCTGAGCGCAGAGGGCAGCTTTGCACCCGCCTGTCCCGTGCGGGCGCCAGGGCTCCTATGCTCACAATGCCCCGTTTTGTCTGCCGAGCCCCAGGTCTGGCCAGAGGTGCGTTTCCCTAAAGAAAATGGAAAAAAGGCTCAGAAAAGCCAGAAAATCACCTTTTGAGGTCTCCTTTCCTTTCTTATCATGTGGCATTTAGATGTCCCCAAGCTTTCTGGCATCCTGCCTTCCTAGCAGGCTGGTAGATACCTGTGTGATCAAAACCTACAATCAATGCTTACAGTCTAAAAATTTATTATAGTAAAATTTAGTATGCTGACATTAAACCCCCTCAGAATCCCTCCTCTCCTCGAACCCACTTTGCCCACCAGTCTTGCCACTTTGTGAAGCGATTCTGGGAGTCCTCTTTTGTAACTGTCTTTAGTTGTGCAGTTGTGGCTGGCTTAATGTCCTGAACTGATTCAAAACATTTACCTTTCCTCGTCATTTTGACTATGGGGCAAAGACAGAAGTCACACAGTACCTGATCTTGTGAATAAGGTGCATGAGGACAGAGTATAATTTTTGTTTTTCAGGCAGGGTCTCACCATGTAGTTCAAGCTGGCCTTGAACTCACTATGTGGCCCAGGCTGGCCTCAAACTTGCAGCAATCTTCCTGCCTCAGCCTCCCAAGTGCTAGGATTACAGGTATGTGCTGCCACACCTGGGCACAGCATGCTTCTTCTTCTTTTCTTTTTTTTTGCAGAGCCGGAGATTGAACTCAGACCCTTGTGCTTGCCAGGGAAGCGCTTATTCCACTGAGCCATTTCCCTGGCCCCTCAGCATGCTTCTGTGAGCCTGCCTTGCCACTGGATGCATTCGGCAGCAGTATTCACTGTGTGTGTGTGTGTGTGTGTGTGTGTGTGTGTGTGTGTGTGTGTGTGTTTAATGTATTTGGTACAGGGTCTCACTATGCAGCTCAGACTCATAGTGATCCTCCTGTTTTCAGCCTCCCCAGTGCTGGGTTACAGGCATGTGCGACCATGTCTGCTCTCAGTGACTGGCTCAGCAAGCCTGGGAGTGGGGCCAGCGGGGCGTGTGGTGCCAGGGATCAAACCTGGTCCCTGCACTTGCCTAAGCAGTTGCTTCATCCTCTGAGCTACCTCGCCAGCCCTTATTTTTGTTTATTTATTATTATTTTTTAAAGAAAAGAATAATTTTTTTTTTTGCAGTAACAGGGATCAAACTTGGGACCTTGTGTTTGTCAGGCAAGCACTTAAGCCACTGCACTATCTCCCTGGCCTCAGTCACTGTATTTTTTATCACATCTCATAAAGACACTCATGAAAGAGAACTTCTAGAACTGCTTCCGAAAGTGGCAAAAACAGTGGGACAAGTGTGTTCACAGCGATGGGGAGTATTCTGAGGGGATTAATGGCAATGTGTCTTTTCCTGTAATAAATTTACATATGCGCTGCACATTTTGATGGCCCCATGTATTGCCCGAGCCCCCTGGCTGCACAACCAGACATGGTGGTGAGCACCTGTAACCTTAGCATTCTGGGACGCTCAGGTAGGGTGATCGAATGTTTGTGTCCAGCCTGTACAACTTAGTGAGATTCTGTCTCAAAATAAAAATTAAGGGCTGAGGAGTTAGTTGGGTGGTCTAAGTGCCTGCCTGGCAAGAGCAGGGAGCCTGGTTCGATCCCTGGTACCACATGCCAGACCGGAAAGACCTGCCCCGCACATATACACAAGCCATGTGAGAGGTTACAGCACATTATTGGGATTAGAAGAGAAGAGCACAAGTTCAAATCCCAGCTCTACCACTGAGAGCTGTTTGTCTTTGGGTGAGTTACTTAACCTCTCTGTGCCTCAGTTTCTGTATGTCTACAATGGGTTGATCATGGCCCTTCCTTGGAGGGTTGTTGTGAAGAGCCAATGAATTGATATGCAGGATGTATTTGATGGGCTGTCCAAACAGCTCAGTGGATTAAAGCACCTGTTAGCAGGCTCAGGGGC